AATAGAGACAAAAAAAATGTGTGAAAATGAAAAAAAAAAAATCTTCGGAACGATACATTCCGGCTAATCATTTTTAAAGATATACGAAAATATTGGATCGGAATTTAGTTGGATTTCTAAAAGTATTATCATGTTTCGAAATTATTAGGATTCCCGAGAATTTTCTTTGATAATAATGATGGAATTATTCTTTTAATTTTGTAGAATATAGTACCTAAAAATATTTAATCTCCTTAAAATTTTAGAGAATCTCTAGAAATTTTCTAAAAAAACTATAAAGTACTTTCGAAACACGATCCGATTCGAACCAATTATGTCCCGGATTTCGGATATTTTCGAATATTTTTAAGAATTATTTTCGAGAGTAATTCTAGAAAGAGCAACTTTTTTTTTCGAATAAGAGTAAATTTCGATCTGATTTTTTCTCGATCTTCATCTTGAGGTTTCGATATTTGGGACTTCTTGGATACAATCATTTCTTCAATATCTAATACACACACATTTCCGTAATAATATGGTCTCTCCTATCATTAATCGCGTTAACTTTCGAAAATCAGAGATAGGATTAAAACTGGTCTCGTTAAAATTCGATAAATTTGATAAAAGAGAATAAAATGTGTAAAATAGAATAAATTAAAACGGAAATTAAAATTTATATTCTTATATTGTAATATATAATTTATAGTTCTTTTAAGAGTACGAATTTAAACATTTCTTTGTCATTTTTTTCATATCTGTATTACGAATAAATTGTCATGCTCGAAACGATTTAATACCCGTTGCTCAAGTATTTATATACCGGCAAAGGTTCACGATTATTTAATTTAAACGTAATTATTACAAGAATACAAAAAAAATAAACAAAGAGAAACAAAAAGAAAAAAGAAGAAAAACAAACGAAATGGAACAGTTAATTATAAATAGAGAAAATCGAGTGTGAATTGCCCTTGATGCGGATGAGAAACAGTTTGTATCTTTGTAATGAGCCCGCGTAATCGCGCAATGCAGCTAATTATCGGTATTAATGCTGGCAAGAATCATGAATATTTATACTTGACATATTTATTGCAACAAACAGCGGGAAATTAGAATCGTTATATGCGGACTTCTTTTTTCATCTCGCTCATCTTTATCCTTGAATCCTTGATATTTGTGTCACGATGAAAAAAAAAAAAATTAAAATTTCTATCTCCAATTTTGTTGAATTGTCTGATTCGTAATAATCCATCCATTTGAAAAAATGATAACTAATCGATCAACAAAAAAAGTAAAAAAAGAAAATGAAAAGTTTCTTTCTTCCACCTTTGAATAAAACCGACATACACTTATATAGACTTATTGTATTTTAACAAATACAATAACATTCATTTAAATTCCACGTCTCATTCAAATTAAAATAATCCAAACCTATTATTATCTCATCAATAAATATTTCGAATTCATATAAAATTTATTATTGACAAAACAATGAATGTGGATGATATAACGAAAATAAACCATAAAAAAGTATAAGAAACCCTATTTTCGAAAAGATGCCATGTACGTCACGTAAAATATGCAATTTCCAAAATTTGAATTTTTATAATAATAATTTTCTAAAAATGATATCAATATATTTCTGAGATTCTTTCCATAAAAATTAATCTAAACGAGTATCTTTATTCTGTATCTGATTTTATCCTGAATTTATCCTAGATGAATATCTCGAATTTTCATTATAATGTCATATTATATTTGGACTAATTTTCATCGAAAAAACCTTACCGATCTATTGATAGATATTTCTATTCTATTATTTTAGGAAAATGAAAATTATAGAAATTTAAATTTTCAGAATTGTAAAATATATTATATTATGTACATCATACGTGTATCGCACGACCTAATATGAATTTTAATCTTAAAAATTCTGATACATTTTGAGATACAATTCCGTTATTCGTTCATCATCATATTATGTAATATTGGTTATATATCAAAATCTATATTTTTTGCAAAAATTGAATTGAATAAGACTTACTTTCTCTAAATTTTACAACAACAAAGTTTTTCTAAATGATATAATTAAGACATAATCAATATATGATATGTGTTCTACTCTTAATATAATATCTTATGATACTAGATAAGTCCTAATATCGAATTATTTATTTTCAAAAAATTTTCATAATCGTACTCAATAACATGATAGAATAAGCTATGATAACTAGCTATGATAAATATGAGAAGATCGTAACATAAATAAAAACGAAATACTATTTCGTTCGGCCATGAAGTTACAAGTTCATAAAAAACGAATAAGAAATTTTTGAATTTGAAATTTTTTGTTGGAAATTTTTTCTAATTTTCATAAAAAAACGTACGAATTTTAACGTAACATAGTTAAATGATTCCACGTATACATATATTTTTTTTATATTAACAAATTAATTTTACAAATTTAATGATTATATGCAAATTTTTATAAATTTCTCTTTTGAGAATCAAATTTTTGAAAATCAAAAATCAAATTGGCTACATTTTCTTTCTTGCAAATCTTTTAACAATTTATCATTCATTGATTTCAAAGATTCTATTTTAACAAAAAATAAACTCACTTTGTAACTAAAATTAAAAAAAAATGCATAAAATATGGTTGAATTTTTTTCTTTTTAATTTTTACATTCATCGATTTTTTTTTATATAAAAAATTTACAAAATAAGAATTTGTTTATAATTTTCAAAATTGCAAAATTAGTTTTAAATTTAAAATAATGATAAATATTACATGTATATGGTTAAATCTCTTACATTCAAAGTAAAAAAGAAAAAAAAGAAAAAAAAATGCAATTTTATTCGATAAATAAATTTTGAAATAAAAATATTTTCGAAACATAAACATAAATTTCGATTCATTTTGAAAATAGCAAAAATTATAAATTTTTTATAAACTTTTTTATAACTTATATTGTTGAATAAGTTCAAAATTAGCAAAATGAATTAATTTTCCCATAAATTTCATATAGTTTATATTATATCGCAGTTTGAAAAAAATCAAAATTAAAAAGTAATCAATTTTGACACGGAATGATTTATTTCTTTATTTAAATTTAAAATAATAGAATACATACAGCTACTAAATATTCGGTTCATTTGCTGCGGAATTTAGCGAAACGTATTGTTGCGCGCGATAATCATAAGCGTCATTTAGAAAATCATGTGAGCTGTACAACTCCCGATTTCATGAAATTCACTTGAATTTAAATTTTATCACGCGCCAAAGAATCATGTTCTAACAACTGCTTTGATTCCGATTCGTATTGTATCGTATTGAATTTTATTGAATCAATATAAAATCATCATTTCGCATATACTTGCTGCTTTTATTTCCTTCTTTTAGAAATTTTATCCTTTTTTTTGTACTGAAACTTTTCTAAAAACTTTTCAGTCAAGTTTATCCATGAAATATTTTTTGGAAGATTTTTTTAGGCATATGACAGGTACTTTGAATTTTGCATTATGATTAAATTTCACATTATTTCGATCAATCGAC